ACAGGTGATTGCAGTTGGTTTCATTTCATGTACATTACATTGCCCCCTTACCCTTATACATAAAGATGCACTTGGGGCTGTCTTTCTCAGAAAGGGGATGTAAGGAGACAGGCTAACTGAACTTTGTAGATTCCTGTCATGGGCATTAATCATATTGTTTCTGCCCATTATGTTCTCAGTAGCCTTTTAATATTTCAGGATATTTCTACAGTTAAATTCTCCCCCTCAAAGTGTTGAATTCCTAGCCTCCCTTGCATCAGAGATGCAGCCATGTGACACAAACATTCCCAATCATATGCACTTGCATGAGACTTTGATTCAAGAGATCAACACAAGGAAGGGGCGGGGGGGAGTCTGTGATGAGCTTTTGTTCTGTAGGTGGCAACAGAGCTGTCTGGCTTTTGGTGTAGGATTGCTGCCAGGCTGAGCTTCCCAGGACAGAAATGCATCTGATGGGCTCATAACAGTCACAGTTGCAGTAAATTGGAATATTTGCATTTAGTGCTTAGTCTTGGTGGCAGGAATGGCAACAGATTTCTCACTGAACCATTTCTAAAGTGAAACTTTGGCCATTATTCTGGAAAAATTAGCCTTGAAACAGTTTCTTTAATTCTCTTGATGGTAATGTGAACTACCTTCTATTTTTAAATGTGTCTCTTTTACTGCTTGAACTAACCAGAGTGGACTCAGTTGTTTGTCTAAGAAGCCTAACCAATACAAATCCCTTCTAATGTTTTATTCCTGGAAGAAAGTAGGGGAGGTCTATTTTCTAACATATGCTTACAGACATTAAAAAATATTAAACTATTAATTCTAAAAATTTTTCTTCACAAGAGTATCTACTGATGGATCTTCATACAAGAATTCCAAGATTATAAGGAGTTCCTAAATGTTGATGATATATAAAGAACTGCATTCAGTTCCTCAAAAAATTACAAATGGATCTGCCTTTTGATCTAGTGATTCCACTTCTGGGGATTTATCTGAAGAAACCCAAAACACTAATTCAAAATAATATATGCACCCCTATGTTCATTGCAGCATTATTCACAATAGCCAAGCTATGGACCCAACCCAAGTGCCTATCAATAGATGACTAGATTTTTTAAAACACTGGTAAATATATGCAATGGAATATTACTCAGCCATAAAAAAGAATGAAATCTTACCATTTGCAAGGGCAGGATGAACCTGGAGGGTATTATGCTAAGTGAAATAAGTCAGTCAGAGAAAAACAAACACCATATGATTTCACTGATACGTGGAATCCAAAGAACAAAATAAATGAACAAATGAACTTGAAACAGACTCAGAGACACAGAGAGAGAACTGGTGGTTGTCAGAGGAAAGGGGGACTGGAAGACTGGGTGGAAAAGGTGAAGGGATTAAGAAATGCAAGTTGATAGTTAAAGAATAGTCACGGGGATGCAAAGTAGAGCAGAGGGAATATAGCCAATAATATTGTAATACCTATATATGGTGTCAGATGGGTTCTAGATTTATCAGGGTGATCACTTAGTAAGTTATATAATGTCCAATCACTGGGTTATATACCTGAAACTAATATAATGTTGTATGTCAACAGTAATTAAAAAATAAAAAAATATTTTAAAAATAAATAAAAATCTAAAAGCTGAAAAGGCATTCCATCAGTAAGGTATCATCAGTATTATCAGTCTACAACGTAGGGAAATGCTGCAGAACCAAAGATGTTATGGAAATGTCATGAACATTGCATTGTCACTAACTCGGGCTGCATCAAAGAATTTCTACACTACAGTCATTGCTTTCCAGATATTTTCCATTCCTGTCCTACATTCGTAGCACTTAAAGCTCAAGAGGCCTGTGGGCTACAGTTGTCATGTTCATGTTCAAGAAAGCACAGACCACACCTGAGTTCGAGATATGGCTCGTGCCTCTGAAAGAACAGTGAGAGGGAGCTGGTAGAGTCCAGCCCCCAGTATCTCCTCTCCCACCTTTGCCCCTTCGATCAGATGCACTGCACTGGTGGTTGCTTGGGCACCTTTCAAGATAATTGGAGATTGTCCATATCTGAGATGAATTGTATTGGAAAAGGTTAGTTAAAATTTACTTAAAATAAGCTTCAAATGTTCATGGCTGATATTGTTTAGGATTTTATCTTCCAAATGAAACTAGAAATTTAAAAATTAAATGTATTTTGTATTTAACAAAATATTTATATTTGCAACTGAGTGCCAATTCTCATAATGAACAAAAAAATGAATTACATATGGATTTTTAAGCATAATTTTCCCTACAAAAAATGCACTCTAGCAAAATACAAACACCCTTCTCTTCACTTTTGACTTTCACAGCATTATCATGTAGAAGATTACTTTTGAAAAAAATATTGTAGGGCCTCTTCATTTTTCTCACCGGTTTTTCTTTCATTCATTTTTGAAGGAATTTTTGGTCAGTACCTTCTTTAGTTTCTTTCCTTCAGTAGTCAACTGGAGTAACTCATCCAGGTCTTCATTGGTCAAAAGCACCCACCCTTCCCCATTTCTTTCAGTTCACTTGCATCCATCTTATGAAATTATGGGTGTTTTGCAAGATCAGTACTGTGCCACAGCTTGAATGTGCACTGTATTTACATGGTCTTTTCAGATGTTTACAAGGCTGATGAGTTGACCAGAGACTAACCAACAAAGATGTTGACATTTGGGGCCTAGCTAGATGCTAATAATATGCAGCAAGGAAGGCTTGGGTGAAGTACAATTTATAAGTGGCCAGTTGATCAGGGAATATTTTCATATTCCCATGACTTTGATTCTCTCTGTAACCTGGTTCACTGGAGAGACTGGGTGAGGATCATTTCACCTAGTACGCTGCTTTTCTTTGGAAAATCTAGCCACAGGGTTTCTGAACTCTCTACCTCACCCCTTTTACTGCCTGGAGCTCGGTGGTTCCCTGCCCATATCAGTTCTGCTGGGCTCAGGTCCAGAAATTGGTTTTATGGAAGTGGACCTTAATCACACTTTCAGAGTCCATTTGGTTCTGTCTCAATTTTAACACATTTAAGCTTCTTAGGACATTTAAGGTTTCTAATTCTGTTCAGAACTGTAGTTTCAAGTCAAATGTATTCTAAGACCAAATAATATAAATTTTAGTAAACTTTTAATATTACATGGTGACATCAACGTCTTTCTATATGTCTCAACAACAGAACCATCAGTGTTGAAACTCTAACTCTTTAGTGAGGATATGAACACAGTAATCAGTCTGTAAATTAAGAAGTATTGTTGCACCCTGGCCAGTGTGGCTCAGTTGGTTGGAGCATTGTCCTGTACACCAAAAGGTGGCAGGTTCAATTACTGGTCGGGGCACATGCCCCGGTTGTGGGTTCGATATCCAGTCAGGGCATGTGTAGGAGGTGGCCAATTGATGTTTCTCTCTCTCTCTGTCTCTCTCTCTCTCTCTCTCTCTCTCTGTCTGTCCATTCCTCTCAATTTTAAAAAATCTTTTTAAAAAAGAAATACTTTTGCATATTTATGTTCAAATAGTTTTCTATCCTTTTAGGCATGTTTAATACTTTGTCTTTTAATTTTAAAATTTGAAAACTTAGCTTACTCCTAAGAATGAAGTATTTTCTGGCTATGATAACTTCAAATCATAACCAGAAAGCGAATTGAGCAATATTTTCACTTTATAAATAAAAATATGACTTTTAAATAAAATATCATCTAAAACATTATGCCATTGGATAGCATATTCTTGAAATGTGTGCAAAATAAACAATCACTTATTTTGCTCTTTGCTGTTTTAAAGCAATTTTTATTGGGTTGAGGGAGTCTGTTTCAGGATATAAAGTAGTTTGCCAAATTCTGTAATTCCTTTTTTTAAAAATGTCATACAGGGTGTGGTACCTTTAGAAAAAAATTTTAAAATTGTAGTTCTTGCTGTTTTTTTCCTTCTCTGTTTCAAAAATAGTAAAATAATATAAACTCCACAGGGAAAGTCTGGTTCCTACTACTAGCTGCTGGGTTTCCCAACAAAAAAAAGTCAAATTATTTTGTGCAGCTCATTTTTACTTATTTCCTTGTCAGGACTGTTTGTGATCTTAATATTGTAACTCAGTATTAGAAATGGAGTCTTGATAAGTACTAACTTAATACTTAACATTTTTGTTTAGAAAGGAGAACAACCCAAATGAAGCAATGAATTCAGCTGTATACTTCTTGCCGTGGTGCGTGGTGTGGTTGTTGAAAATCTCAGTAAACCCATTCTCTTCTTGTTTTGCTGTTATTAATCCTAGTCATTGGGAAGCATTTATCTCATATACCAGTAAAACAGAATAAGTGTCTCCAGATAGATAGATACTTAAGTAAGAAAATAAAAGCTCGAGTTAAACTATAACAGCATCCCTCTTCTATATTCTTTTTTCTTGCCTTAGATGTGTGTCTGGTTGAAATAGATAGAAATAAAGAAGTCCCAGGTTTTCCAGCAAGCGCTAATACTTTTTATTTAAAAGCAACTGGGGAAAAACATCCCCCAAAGCAAACCACATCCCCATCCCACCTCCCACCCCCTACCCCGAGGTCGTCTTTGGATCCTGAACCCAGTCCCGCTTGGGCATTAGTGGGCGGCGGGGTGGGCGGTTGGGGGGTTCTCCTTTCATCTTCTCCCCACAAGCCTGCAGGCGGGGTGTGCCCGGGCTGCGGGTCCCAGGTGCCCGGGAGGAGACGCCCGCGCCCCCGCCCCCGGAGGGGAGGTGGCTCAGGCCTCGGAGCCGCCCCTCCCGCTGCCGAGAACAAACGGGACATTCAGCCCTGGCCAGTGGCTGCCAGCAGCTCCTGGGGGAGACGAAATGTCGAGTCAGGCTGCACCGTAGCAGCCTCTCCGAGCGCCCCGACCTCGCCAGCGGGCCTCGGCTCCCCGGGCTGCCGCGCGTGTGCGGTGAGAGCGAGCGCGCCCGGAGCTCGCGCGCCGGTGGGGGCCGGGGCGCAGCCGCGTGCGCAGGGCGGCCGAGCTCTCCGGCCATGAGCGGCGCGGCCACCTGGGCTGTGCTCGGCCTGCTGCTGGCGGCCCCGCCGGCGCGGCAGCAGCCCCCGGAGAGGTAACGCGCCCGGCTCCCCTCCCCCCGCTCCGTCCGCTCCGGGCGCCCCGGCACCTGGCCGCGGGCTGTCCCCAGGCCCCCGGGTCGCGCCGGCCGTGGGCTCCCGGCGGCGCCCACCCCTGCGCACCGCTGGCCCGGCCACCACGTGGCGAGGGCGGCATCGGACCTGCGTCTCCCCGCCCCGCGTTTCTGCGGCCGGAGGGAAGCTTTAGGGCCCGCATAGGTGGATTTAGGGTTACTTCTGTTTTTTTGGTTTTTTCCTAGGGAGAAACTTAATTAAGCCTAGGGGGAAACTCGAGTGGCGTGGCGCCCGCTAGCCGCTCCCTAGCCGCTCCCGGAAACTTAACTCTTCGTCAACCGCTGAGCTGCCAGGTGGCCCCAGCACCTGGGCCGTGGGACCCACCCGTGCCGATTTTGGCACCTCCTCTTCCACCTCCATCACCATCAACCTCTCTTTTCAATGGGAGGCTCTGCCAATGCCCAACGATTTTCAGAAAAGGGCAGGAGAAACTTTTTTATATTAACCAATTGCTTGTCTATCTTTGAGCCATAGACATTATACAGCTTAACTCTAATTTTCTCTCTGACTGCCCCTAGTTAAAATTTCCATTTACTGTTTTCCGATAAGATTTTACCACTAGCTGGAGGACTTGGTTGCACGTGGAAGGAAGGAAGGATGGATGGATGGATGGATGGATGGGTGGGTGGATGATAGAACAATCGACGTGTGTTATGATGGAGACAGGTGGCAGCTGGACGGAATGTTTTATCAGGCTATAACTGAAATATTCTGGGAGCTGGCAAGCTCTCAAAATTTTTATATGGAGCAGGCATTATTGATCAATATTAACTTCATATTAATAGACTACACCTTTCTGAGGTTGACATGTTTCAAACTGTTTCCCTTTTATTTCCCAGACCTGTTTTCACATGTGGCGGTGTTCTTACTGGAGAGTCTGGATTTATTGGCAGCGAAGGTTTTCCTGGAGTGTACCCTCCGAATAGCAAATGCACTTGGAAAATCACAGTAAGCACATTTTAAAAGGGTGTTCTCCTTGAAGTTGGTATTAGAAACAATGGAAGACTGCTGCTTTTTCCTCGGAGATCAAGATTTGGGTTGGGGCACATGCCTGATAGTGAAAGTTTGGATTTACCTCAACTATTTTGGAGAATTTTATTAATAGAACTAGTGGTGTCCTGCATTAGCAGTCGGAAAGGGTGTAGGATAAAGCTTGAAGGAATAAATTCTTAAAGCAGATGTGTTTCTGAAAACCCAGCCTGATTCAGTTGAGTTTCGTGTATTAAACATTAAGGCTATTTTCAGTCAAAGGTTTGTGGTGATGATTCTTAGGAGCTTTTTGTTGCCTCTGATTTGCATAAATATCTTCCAGTGGGGAATAGAAGATCAGAGGTGGTGCTTACCCCTGACTACTTTACACCCATTATAGAAAAAGGGGGCAGAAAGGGCAGAAAAATGAAAATAAGAAAAAAAAAACAGTTAATGTTCCTGACTTGAAACCACCACCTAAAACAAAATAGAAACAGACTCATAGATACAGAGAACAGACTGATGGTTGCCAGAGGGGAGGGGAGTTGGGGGACTGGGTGAAAATGTGAAGGGTTAAGAAGTACAAATTGGTAGTTATAGAATAGTCATGGGATATAAAGTACAGCATAAGAAATATAGTCAATAATATTGCAATAACTATACACAGTGTCAAGGGGATGCTGGAAATATCATTAAGAACACTTTGCAAAGTATATGATTGCCCACATCCCTATGCGTACACCTGAAACTAAGACAAAATAGTATTGAATGTAAAAAATAAAATAAAATACAAATTAGAAAAATACGATAAAATAACTTGGGGGACTAAATACCAAACAAAGGCTAATAAAATGCCCATGCTGGTTAGTAATGGCATAGATTATGCTGAGTCAAGATCAGACATTAGATTTAGAGCCATCCAGTTTTTATAAAATGTCTGGATTTCGAGTCAGCTAGATTGAGTCATCTTTCCATTCAGCACAGCAGTGACTATTTTCTTCTTTATTCTTTGTTTGTTGGGAAGTTGTTTGGTAATTGCATATGTTGGTTCACTGAGACCTTCATTCAGATTGTGCCATTCACAGATTATGATTTTTTGTTATTGTTAATTCGCACCTGAGGATATTTTTCCACTGATTATTTTAGATAGAATGAAAGGGAGGGGGGGGGGGAGAGAGAGAAACAACCATGTGAAAGACACACACTGGTTGCCTCCTGCACGACTCTGACCCAGGAGGGGATCGAACCTGCAACCCTTGACTGGGATCTAGCCTTCAGTGCACAGGCTGATGCTCTAACCGCTGAGCAAAACTGGCCAGGGCAGATTATGATTTTAAAAGTAGCTACCTCTTATTGAGCACTTACTGTGTGCCAGGAACTGTGCCAAGTAATTAACAAGCATAATCTCACTCTAAGAAAGTAACATTGTTATTATCCCCATTTTATAGATGGGGAAGCTGAGGTCTAGAACAGTTATATAAAATGACTTGATCAAACGTTTGGTAAATCCAGCTTTATGTAAAGTGAAACCTATTTTGCACTGAGGCATTCCCACCAAGGTCTTTTGACAGGCAGATGAGAGGGTCCCCTCCATAATATAAACCATGGCTCTTAGATTCATGGATGCCCTCCTATCATCAGTTGTCTGATGAACTGGCACAGATTTTATTATGTTATTGCAGCACATAGGGCCAGGAGAGCATAAATCATAGAAAATAGCTTTGAAATATAAGGCTGTGAAACAAACATAGAAATAACCTGGTTTTCATATTTAAAAAATTTTTTTTCTTTATTGATTTGAGAGAGAGAAAGGAAGGGAGAGGGAGAGAGAGATAGAAACATGGGTGAGAGAGAACATCAACTGTCCACCTCCTGCATGCCCCCCACTGGGGATTGGGCTCACGACCCGGGCATATGTCCTGACCCGGAATCAAACTGGGACCTCTCAGTCCATAGGTTGATCCTCAACCACTGAACCACACTGGCTGGGCACCTGGTTTTCATATTTTAGTTGTATTCCAAGGGGAATTAAATGACTACAAGGTAAAGTGATCCAAGAAATTTAATGACTGAGAGGCATCCTTTGCCTAACAAGGAGGAATTCACAGTTGGCTGTTCATTTGGGATATTAGGGGACATTGTTGGTGTGGCATCAAACTTTGATTGGGGGTGAGAGGGTCTGGTGAAGGTTTCCTTTGGTAAAGAGGTGGTAGGCCTCAGGAGAGGCCTGGCTGCCTCCTTCTGTGTGGGGGCAGAGGAAGTGTAATGGATGCTCCGTTTGGATGTCATGTAGGCATGTGGGCTTAGCGGTCAGATGTCCCTAGATTCTCGTTCCATCATTCATAGGTTACGTGACTAGGATTTATCTCCTTTAAACCTTAGGAACGTTGTGAAGATAAGATGAGACAGTACATGTAAAGCCATTTGGCTTGGTGCCTGGAATATAATAAGTGCTCAATAAATGTTAGCCGTCACTGTTTGAGTTTTCATTATCCTCGTTATTGTTGGTATTGAGTTGTCCTGTCTTTTGCCCCAATATAGCACATCACTGCTACCCCCTCACCACATTGGCCAAGCTGAGCTGGGCATCATTTCAAAACAATCCAGACTTTGGGGAACAATCTATATTGTCATCTATATCTAGAAAGACCTTATTTCTGTGACTGGATTCTCCTGTATTCTTACTGGATCAATTCTGTGTGAGTTAGGGCTTAGTGGGCTTCCAGTAACAGAGACCTAAAATAACAATGGCTCAAAGAGAGGTTTGGTTCTGTCCCACATAAAGGAATCTGGAGGTAGGCACCCCAGGAGTGGTGTGGCAGCTTCACAGTCATTAGGCACCCAGTATCTTTCTCTCTTCCCCTCCGCATGCCACCTTTGTCCAAGATGACTGTTCAAGTTCCAGCCTTCGTGTTCATCTTCCAGCCAACTGAAAGGAAGGGAAGAAGGGTGTACACCCCCCCTTTAAGGGCAGTGTGCAGAATTACATGCAACTTGCTGCTCACATTTCATTGGCTGGTTCTTAGTACTTGGCCACATGTAGCAGCAAGGGAGCTGAGAAACTCAGGTCTTTTGTCATTGAAAAGAAAGGAAAACGGCAGATGACTGGCAGTCTCTGTGATATATTTATTTGTGGTGTGAAACTGAAAAACAAATGCCAACCATTTTAGGGGGAAAGTGTCTTTAGAAAGCGTAGTTAATGCAGAAGGAATGACTGCACAATGTGATTGTATAGTTTTACCTCTTAGGCAGTTGAATTTGCTGTTTCAAGGGGCTGCCTCTTTTATGTTTGCATTTGAGTAGCTACCAAGAACGTCCAGAGGGGCCCGCACTTTCTCTCGGTTTTGATTACAGCCTCGGCAGAATGTCCACAGAAGCCTCGGGTGCTCTCGAGGTCTCAGTGTGACAACATCTTTATTTCTTTGTGTTACACAGAGAATAGTACTAATTTGTTTATAAAAATCTTCATGGCCCTCTGGTTTGTAAGAGAAGCAGAAGGGAGCTCCCCAGCTCCTGTAGATGGGAGGGGAGAGGAAAGGGGGGGAGTGTGGTGGAGCTGAAGCTGGTGGCCCTGAGATCTTTCGTTCATCCAGCGAATGTGTGTGGAGCGCTGGGTACTCTGGAGGTTACGGCAGCGGACAGGCAGCGGGCTCCTTGCCCTCACGTAGCTAGTTTGCGGAGACAGGCAATTGATGTTTAAAAAAACAGGTAAACAAGAAAATCAAGTATTGATAAATGCATTATAAAAATAGAATAGAGATTACTGCATGGCCATTAGGATGGCTACTATGGGGTGGGGGGGAAACAAATACGTGTTGACAACGATGTGGAAAAATTGGAACCCTTGTGCATTGCGGGTAGGGATGTAAAATGGTACAACTGCGAAAATAGTATGGTGATTTCTCAAGAAATTAAACATAGAATTGCCATATTATTTAACAATTCTACTTCTGGGTATATTCCCATTGGAAGGGAACGCAGGGACTGGAACGGATGTTTATGTGTCCATGTTCAAATAGCATTATTCACAATAACTAACAGGTAGAAGCAATTCAAGTATTTGTCCACAGATGAATGGATAAATAAAATATGGTGCAGAGACACAAAGAACATTATTCAGCCTTAAAAGTAAGGAAATTTGGACACGTGCTACAACATGGATAAAGACATTATGCTAAGTGAAATAAGCCAGTCACAAAACAAGAAGTACTATAGGATTCTACTTGTATGGAGCATGTAGGGTAGTCAGATGTAAAGACAGCAAGTGGAGGGGTGCTTGTCAGGGCCTGGGGAGGGGGCGTGGGAGTTGGTGCTTGTTGGGGACAGCGTTTCAGTTTGGGAAAAAGTTCTGGAAGTGGATGTTGGTGATGGTTGCACAGTACACTTAAAAATATGTTTTATGTTATTTATATTTTATCACAATAAAATATATTCAAAATAAAACAAAGTGGTGGAACATTGTATAATTCCATTTACATGAAATGTTCAGAAAAGGAAAATCTGTAGAAATGGGAAAATAGATTATTGGTTGCCTAGGCAGGGGATAGTTATGGGATTAACAGTAATGGTCAGGAGGGATCATATGAGAAGATGGGATTGTTTAAAATTGACTTATAATGATGGTTGTACAACTTGACATAGTAAAAATCATTGAATTGTGCACTTGAAATGGATGAGTTTTATAATTTGTAAAATATACCTCAAGAAAGTTGCAAAAGCACACACATGCAACATTGCAGCAGGGTACAGAGTGGCCACAGTGCTGGTTCAGATGGGACTGTTTGAGGGAGTGACATTTAAATGGAGGCCTGAGTTGTGAGGAGCTAGCCATGTGAAAATCTGGAGAGGAACATGTTAGGCAGCGAGACCAGCATGTGCAAAGGTCCGGAGGTGTGAAGAAGCTGGATTTGTCTAAAGAACAGCCAGGTCAGTGTGGTTAGAACAGAATGAGCAAAGGGACCGATGCGAGGATAACTTTA